GAGCCATATATTTATAAAAATATGGTTTCTGGACTAAGGAATGCCAACTTTGATATCTTCGCCGAGTCCATTGGGGGACAAGGTGAGAACATGTATAGTAGGTAAGAAGAGCTTAAATTTAATCTTTCTATCTAATTACAGCAATGGTGACATGTGCTCTCCTCAGTCTATATGCCCTTTGAGGAGATGGATCCACCAGGCACATGTGTACGGAAGATGCTCGATGAAATGACGAGCACCTGCAACGTTATCTTGGGATGCGACGCAAATGCTCACCATTTTCAACGGGGTAGCAAGGACACAAACAAACGAGGTGAGTCCGTTTTTGATTTCATTTGATCCTATAATTTACGTATATGTCCGACTTTTAAAGTTAGGGGTAGAGAGGTGGTCATTGACTTAACCCTCTCTAATCTAGACGAGTCCGTCATCAGGAATTGGAGGGTATCTGATGAATGTTCCTTCTCGGATCATTTAAAAAATCTCTTCGAGTACTCTTTTGACGGAGATAGACAACAGCCTTATCGGAATCCAAGGAGACAAGGTGAGAACATGTATAGTAGGTAAGAAGAGATTAAATTTAATCTTTCTATCTAATTACAGCAATGGTGACATGTGCACTGTTAGGCTGGAGCACAAGACGGGGAAGGCCACCCTGCTCTCCTCAGTCTATATGCCCTTTGAGGAGATGGATCCACCAGGCACATGTGTACGGAAGATGCTCGATGAAATGACGAGCACCTGCAACGTTATCTTGGGATGCGACGCAAATGCTCACCATTTTTAATGGGGTAGCAAGGACACAAACAAACGAGGTGAGTCCTTTTCTGATTTCATTTTATCCTATAATTTACGTATATGTAATAGGGGTAGAGAGGAGGTCATTGACTTAACCCTCTCTAATCTAGACGTGTCCGTCATCAGGAATTGGAGGGTATCTGATGAATGTTCCTTCTCGGATCATTTAAAAATTCTCTTCGAGTACTCTTTTGACGGAGATAGACAACAGCCTTATCGGAATCCAAGCAGAACAAACTGGGAGAAATTCACGGAGCTAACGAACTCCCAGCTGACTCTTAACACAAACTTAGGAAAAATGTGGAACTCAACGGGGCCGTGAAAAATCTAACAGAGGTTCTCTTAGGTTGCCATAAGGAATCCTGTCCGCTCACACATCCTGGGAAGAAATCTCGGCCAGTGTGGTGGAACAAGGAACTTGGTGAGATCAGGAAATCGACCAGACGACTGTAAAACAGGGCGCATAAGTCTAAACTCGACACTGATTGGAACTCCTATAGAGTTAGTTTCAATAAATACAAGAGAGAGATAAAACGCGCGAAGAAAAAATCATGGGTAATTTTTTGTGAGTCGATAGAAGGAGTCAACGACGCTGCTAGGTTTCGAAAACTACTATCCAAAGACCCGAAGTCCATCGGTAGTATTAAGAAGCCGGATGGAGCGTGGACGGACTCAGGTTCTGAGACTCTAAATCTCCTAGCCGAGACTCATTTTCCGGGTTGCAAAGACATGGGTACCATCGACGGTGATCGTGATGACACTTGGCCTTTTGCCACTCCGGATCTGGATCTCATTAGCAGGGTGGTTAACAGAAATAAGATAATATGGGCGGTCAACACTTTCAAGCCGTATAAATCGCCAGGACCGGATGGTATTCTACCGGCGATGCTTCAATTTGCCTCGCCAAGTATTTATCCGATCCTTGAGAGGATTTATACTGCGTGTTTGACTCTCTCGTGTGTTCAAGGTCACTTATATTCCCAAAGCAGGGAAACCAAGTCACTCTGCACCAAAAGACTATAGACCCATTAGCCTATCATCCTTTCTCCCCAAGACTCTCGAAAGACTGATCGACCTGTAGATAAGGAGTCGCATAGACACCACCTCTCTCAGCAACTCACAACACGCATATATAAAGGGAAAGTCTGTGGAATCTGCACTGCACGAAGTGGTAGGCTATATTGAGAGTAACATGGAATATTCAAATTTTTATCAAAGTTGTAGCTTACGCGGACGACGTGGTGATATTGATCTCCGGAAAATTTCCGTCTACAATCTCTGAGCTTATGCAAAGAGCCTTACTGACGCTGTCACGCTGGGCCAGGGCAAATGGTCTTGGTGTAAATCCAACGAAGACGGAACTAGTAATGTTTACTAGGAAGCGTAAGCTCGGCGTTTTTATTCCACCAACATTGGATGGAGTGCAACTTCACCTATCTCCCGAAGCAAAGTACCTCGGCACAATCCTGGACTGTCAACTACGATGGAAAAGGAACGTTGAGGAGCGGGCGAAGAGAGTAATGATTGCACTCTATTCATGCAAGAACTCCATTGGGGAAAGCTGGGGGCTAAAACCATCGACTATACACTGGTTGTATAACACTGTGGTGAAGCCCATCTTGTCCTATGGCTCTATTGTTTGGTGGAACTGTCTGAGCCTCAAGTCGACATCTAGTAAATTAGACAAGGTACAAAGAGCCGCCGCGATTTTAGTTACAGGAGCCAGAGGGAGTACGCCACAAGCAGCTCTGAACGCAATGCTGTACTTCAAGCCTTTGGGCCTCAGCATTAAGTGTCAGACTGCGCGTAGCGCTTTAAGGCTGCACGAATAAAAACTATGGCGGAACTGTACCTTTGGGCATAGTAGTGTTCTTAATGAACCAGGTATAGCATTGGACCAACGCGCTAAACTAAGCGACTATATATCACCAATCCTTAGATTTGACGATGTAGATGTTATTCCTAGTAGAGACGACTGGAAACGAAGTAACCCTCCTCTGGACGGGCTGGCAATTGATGGAAGAAGGCACTGGGGCAGGCGTCTACTGTGAAAGGTTAGGCCTTGAGTTGACCTACAAGCTGGATAGTAACTGTAGTGTTTTCCAAGCTGAAATCTTCGCGATCTGGAAGGCAGCGGAATTGATAAAAAATCTGGATGCTGAGGTCGTTGAACCGGTGACTATCTTTGTGGATAGTCAAAGCCATCAAATCTTGTCACATCAAATCCGAAACCGTCCTCAAGTGTAGAGCAGCTCTGGAAGAACTTAACCAGAGCTATCGGCTGTGTTGGGTACCAGGACATTGTGACATCTTGGGTAATGAAAGAGCGGACGAATTAGCTAGACGAGGATCTCATCCACCGATCTAGAAACTGATGACTTAATCAAACCACCCATATTTCTTCGACGAAACAGCCTGCGAACTTTGGCACAACGAACCTAGGTGCAACGTGTCAAGATCAATTTGGCCGACTCTGTCTACCAAAAGAACGCACTCACTATTGAACCTGAGCAAAGCTGAAATTAGAGTGATGACGGGAATCATCACTGGTCACTGCAACATCAGGGCTTTTACTAGTAAATGGGATCTTGATGCAACTGATTACTGTAGACTCTGTGTTGACGAGGAGGAGACGGAGACAATTGAGCATCTCCTGTGTCATTGCTCACCCCTGGCTTACAAGCGACACAGACTAATGGGTTCTCATTTTCTACCGAATCTCAGCTTCTTCTCAACAACCGAACCTGCTCCAATCTACAGCATAATTAGAAATATAAAGTGGTTAGGAGCATACAACCTTGGCACGTAACGCTTTTTCTGTCTGACTCATGGGCCATCGACCTTCATTAATTTACTAATCTTCTCCCCCCACAGATCTGTCTTTGGTCTCTTCTCTTCGCTGTATCTCTTCTTGTGGATGATCACAACGGACCTAACCGGTCTCAGAGTGTTGTAGTCACACATGTGACTGCACATCCCCAAACCTAACCTAACCTATCAAAAACGACTTAAAATTTCTACGTCAACAGTGATCCGATATGAAATTTTAATCGTTTCAACTTTACACCAAAATTCCAAAAAACCATAGTACAAAATTTTATATAATTTTTGAATTTTCATACAATTTTGGAAAGAATTTCCTCCCATATAAATAATCGTCCAATTTTATGCAAATGGCACAGCAAGCTCCCTACGTTCCGAACATTTGTAAATGACACAAAGTTGAGTCTAGGTCAAGTTTTCATGTATTGCAAAAACTGTTTAAATTTAAATATAGCATATATAATTTACTGCGTTTTCATTTAATAATCCAAATGGCTTAAATATGTTATAAGTCCATACAATTCCATACATGTGCCAAATCTTTTTAAATTGACATGTTACTCCCTTACATAATTTAATGCGTTGCAAGGATAAGATTTTTTAGCACCTCCAGTTTACATTTATACCTGTCTCACTTATAACTCAATCATAACACCTATAAAGAACCGCACACCAAGATTTAAAGTTCTACCAATATTTACTAATATTGGTACCATTTATAAGTATTCGTTTGCTTTTAAAAAGTCTCTGAAAATAAGTACTAAAGAGTATATAATATCTTTAGTACTTATTTTCAGAGCCACTTTCTATTACATCCATGCACACCAACAATGATCTAATGCCCATTTTGGGAGTTTAAGATTTATACATTCACCCATCAAAAAGTACGAATTTTGGTAGCATTTAGTACGAATATCTAGTAAACCTCATACCAAATTTCAAGATTCTAGCTTTATTCGTTCACCCAATACCAAAAAATGCCAAATAATACGGTTTAGTATATTTTCTAGGACGATATTCCACAAACCCTTTCCTACTTCTCCATCACAATCCATCAGGAACCCTAATTCCACACACCAATACTGATTGATAAATTCCACAAACCCAACCTTAACACACCACATACGAGCCAATGTGGACCACATATATATTTTCATAGGTTCATGTTATGTATAATTTATAGTAATTTCATAAAATTTGGAAATATATTATAATTAGAATACATACTAAAAATATTATTGTTAATAAGAGAAAAATAATATAATATAATATAATAAAAAATATAATATAATATAATATAATATAATATAATATAATATAATATAATATAATATAATATAATATAATATAATAATAAAAACGGCCAATGTCCTATAAATATGTTACCTGTAAATTATGCGAGGGTAGAAGCCCAGTCGTGTCACTATCCACACAACGGTAAAAATTGCAAAAATTATATCACATATTTTTTGATAATTTGCATACTTCGTCAATTTAGCAGCCTAGAATAGAAATCATTTAATACGTATCTTATAATTAATAAATATAGCCATACTTCTAGGAAAATGTCAGCACAGTCATGAATAACTAGAACCAAAGATCCAACTCGGTGCAAATTGCAAATCCAGCTTAAGGACATCAAAAGTAATGTTACCATGTGATGAACGAACATTTGCCAAAAGTCTTTTCGCTTTACGTCGAAAAATTGAGTCACCGTTAAGGACCAATAGAAAGCCATTGAAATCATGTAATACCACCAGATATCACCTGAAACAGACTTAAACATTTAAAATCAATTAAATGTATATTCAATATAAGCATAGAATATAAATAACATAAAATTAATAAGGTCCATTGCTATTAAATTAGTTTTTCCATTCGCAACACCTTGAAATATTCGTCGGAGTGATATTCTTCCATGATCCACATCATGGTGAGTTTTGAGATGGAATAGAAAATCAGTTGTGAAATCTATATTCAAAAACAACTAAAATTATTACATATTTTAGTAAGAAATTCATCCACTGAATAATTTGTAAAAACCTTTATAAAACAATTAATAATATCTACTACCTCTAATAGACGCAATATGGAAATCCGAGGATGTATTACTATTTAATATTTTTAATAATCACAAACTTGTCTACTTTTTAATGTAGGTAATCGAATCGAAAACGCTAAAACTTGCGTTGAAAATAAAAACATCTGCAGATTTGGAAAAATAGCAAAAATAAATGTCACACATTTTACAAAATGGTGTTGAAGCAAGCGTTGGGCGCCAATAAAAAAGCTCGTGAGGGTATTTGACATAGCTCCCTGCGAAGGATTTGGAAGTGAGTTTCTAACTCCATCTTCAAATAATTATCTACTTCGACACTTATTTTTTGTAAAAGGGTGATACTTCGTAATTTTACAATAACAAATGAATTGTTATCCAATTTCGATCGTCTGTAGTAACTACTTAGTTAAATGAAACTAGATGGAAAATAATTTAACTGTCGTTATATAAATATTTGTCATCGAATAAAAATTTGTGGATAATACTACATTTTCATTATAAAAAATCTTCGCCCTGAAACCTTTTTCATTGCTGTATCAAATAATATAAATATGCGCGGAAAAATATAATTGAATTGAGAAGCAAGAGGGAGGCATCTGGATTATTTTCAACCTTTTTCCCAAAGTCAACAGAATGCAACATCCACCACAAAAGGTAATGCGTATTGAGCAAATTAGAACATCAAAAGGCAATGATGTTTTTGAACTTATATTTTTGAACTTGATGATTTTAATGTGAAAATAGTGAAAGTGAATATGATGGCGAAGAAAAACTGAATGCACAACTTAAAAAAAAATTAATCATTTTCGAAAAAATTATCGGAATGGGCAGTCCAAAATTTTGTAAATCGTAACGCATAATAAGCTCTTGGTCATGTTAAGAGAAGAAGGAATCAATGTATCTAAAAACTGCAGGACATTAAAAGGAACTCCAAACGAAGTATACATTCATAGTATTTTAGGGGGATCATATCCTCATTATGGGTTAAAAGACTGTCAAAATGCCCACTTCCCTAGAAAAAGAATTGCAATTGTTGTCATCGCTACCATTTTATGTTTTCGACGATTTTAAAAATTTTGATCCCAAACTTCTAATAGAAAGTGAAGTTCGGGAACAATTGGTAATAATAAGTTGTTATAAGTGATCAAATAGCAATTGAAATGACATGGCGTGGAACTATGCAAAAACCCAGTTTTCAGTGATTTACTAAATATAGTATAATAAGACAAAAGTAAGCTGACTTACTTTTGTGTTAATTTGAAATTAAAACATTAATTTTTACAGATATGTACCATCTTAAATTTCTCCATACGTTGTGGTTGGGCCTAAACAAAGTTTGTCAACAACATATTTTACACGCTCGGGATAGAATACACAAAAAAACAACCGAAGACTGTAAATCAATAAAATTGTTGAAAATTTAACTATTATTATAATTTAACTAAATAATGTTTTTAGTTTTACTTAGTATTAACCTTAACATCAATATTATGTTTGTTTGGCGTTAAATGTTGACATTTTTTGCAAAATATAGGTTATTCATTACTGTTATTGCAATTACTCATTATTCATACAAGTATTTTACTTTGGATATCAAAAACTCACTACCAGGCTATATGGGTAATATGGTTATTTAAGAAATGAAACACGCATTCGTCACATCTTAAACGTATCTTCTTAGTGAAAGTTGAAAGTAACTAAGGCGATAATATTTAAGGTTGCCTGGTAGTAACTTTTTGGATATGTTTTGGATAGAAAATGCTTGCTGGGAGTAATTTAATGACAAATAAATCATAACACTGCTGATGAAATATATAATACTGTAGCTGGCATTCACGCATACTAAGTAAAAGGAAGGAAGCCCCCACGATCGGTAAGGATGAGAACGTTCGTAAAAAAGGATTTCGTTAAATTTCAGTTGTTGAACGCTTTGCAGCATCGGTTATATTTTGGTGTGTAAAAATTGGACGATATATTAAAATTACGTAGAACATACCTGATGTGGATATCCATACCAACAGTTCTTAACATCCCAAAACCAGGGCTTATCCCATAAAACTATGATTCCAAATATAAAGCTATATGTATAATATATACATCTCCAAGTATTTTCACAAAATTTTGTCAATGTAGATGGCTTGTCTTGCGCTCGTCTTAAACGCCACCAACGTTCGATCTGACGCTCAGTCATGTCTATGTGCTTTGCTAATGATAAAATCTGAAAAAATAAAAATAAATTATTAATATAAGCACAAAAAAGTATATATGGGCAATATTGCCAATTTTTTAACATAGCTGAAGCGGAGGTTCACCCCTTTATAACTCGGAAACTACTTAAGTATATGAAAAAAAGTGAATAGTTTTGGGTTAATTGATCTGTCGTTGCAAACTGTTCATGATATTGACCTCCAAACCTTATTTTGGTGGAAGCTGTGTCTACTTTAATGTAAAAAATGTGTAAAAACAGGTTGAGGCAAACCAGTTTTTTTATGTTCTCTATTGATTTGTGACTAAGCCACTCATTGCACGGCCTTAGTGTCAAAATAAAACTAGAAGCCAACAAAATGGGGACTACACCCCCTTTGTATCATTTTTCAAAATTTTAACTGCATCTACCTTTAAATGATGCTGACATTTTGAAGCTCGATTTTGAGTGTTTTTTTAATTTTACTTCTATCTTTAATACGCCAACAGGAATTTATAAAAATCGATTATACGATTATTGTAGTCGCGAATCTGCGTAATTTGATATGTATTATGTGTATGTAGTATGCACAGCTTCAGAGTAATACTCATCCGAAGGTGCGAATTTTGTGCGATCAAATTTCTAAAAAAACCTATTTTTCGGGGCAAATTTTTAGATCTGTCAACTGAATGATATGGGTACCCGCGATCAATAAGGTTTTCTACGTTTCGGATGATATAAAATCTTTTTCGTGAAAATCCATCTACTAGAACGGCGGGAACTGACCTTCCAAAAACACGAAATTTGGCAAAAAAATGTTTTTGAAAATATCGCAGATTTATTTGCGTTTTCTGTTCAATAAATGACCTCATACGGATTTTGATCTTTTTCGAAAAGAGAACTTTAAAACCTTCAGCCGAAAGAGAGATGTACGCAATTTATCTCAAAAATAGATTGTGCTGGCACATCCATGGTTCTTAATGGACCACATTGAAATCGGTATAGATCGATGTATTTTTTTAGGGTGCACACCGAAATCGGATGCGCGTTAATGGCATATGGAGTTTTCGGAAATTATTCGCGTTTTACGATTTTTTGGGTACTTCGATGTAACGTGTAGCACATCTTAGCCGTCAAATGAAATTTTGCAAAATATATATGGATTGGAAGATAAACTCCAGTACTTCCTGGAAACCGCATGCGCATCAAATGATTTTGAGAATTACGCGATTTACACGCAATTTAAAATGTATATTTCATAATATTATTTTATTTTAAGATTTATTCCTATTTATAGAATTCTAAGATTTATCGGAAGGGTCTTGATATAATCCGCAAGGCGTATACTTACACACAAAAATTGATTATTAATATATGTATATGCCAACTTTTCGGCGAAATTCGGGTAAAATAGCAGAATAACCCCAAAATTTTTTTCTGAATTTTCTTGTATAAAAAATTAAAAAAATAAATATGATGACATTATTTTTTCGAACCAAAAACAAATATTTTTCCTCAATATATTGTTTTATTGTCGCTGTGATTTAGAAATGTAATAAACGGCGTAATTTTAAGATTTTTTTCTTATGCCCAAAATTAAAACCTCGATAACTTTTACGCGCATCAACCAAAAATTTGATCGCGAACGGTTTCGGAGTCAGAACATTTTTCTCTATATGTGTACCAAAAATCATTGATGTGCCACAAAAACAAAAAAGCTGATTTTGTAAATAGGAATATTAAAAAATTGGCAATATTGCCCATATACAGTATACAAATATGTTCAAATGTATCAGCTTGAAATAACACTAGTTATATTACTATTTGTAATTAGATGTTATTTATCATACTCGTGTTGCACTTAATTCAGTTTGAGACAACCAAATTAAACTTTGTTTAATATTTCTATTTTATTCCAATTTATAGCATCCACCTGAAATACCATAAATCTCATAATGTGTGACAAAGCGACAGGTACCAAAAAGTTCTGTGGTTTTGAGTGACGTCTGAAGATGAAATGATACAATTTTTACCTGTTCTACAAAAAAATTTACAATTTAACAAAAAGTCAAAAAAATGTCAATATCTGAAACTGATTTCCCACACATATATATATATATATATATATATTCTGAAAGCCCATGAAGTGACCTTTCAATCGTGGGTATTCGCTTAGTCCCAGGTTTTGAAATTTCGGGACAGTGGGCCAAAATGATGGACCATATCAATTACCAGAAAATTTAGAATTTAAATAAAGTAAAAAAATTTAAAATATCCGAAATTTATTTCGGACATAAACTATATATATTCTGAAGCCCAATTTATCTTCACGCTCATAACATGAGATACAATCTGTCAAGTTGTATATTATTATATTTCGTTTCCCATTTTTTAATTACGTACTGTAGAAAAAAGGTTTCCGGTATCATCGATCTGTATTTTAATTTCATATACATATATAATATATAATTACAAATTTAAATCACATTAAAATAACACAGAAACTCACCTTTTTATGATCTAGTCGACTTGATTTGGAATATGCACTCTCCAGTGCTGGAATATTTGCTGCCTTTTTTGGTCTGGTACTTTTGATGCCGAGAGATACGCCGACTGGTGATACCCAGAATCTGCAATAAATTGTATTAAACAAAATGCAATATACTAAAAAAATCGTACAGTCGAAATAGCTTATAACTTTATAAAACATTAAACACTTAATACCCATGGTATAATGTAATGTTTATATTTTGAGTGTGTGTTAGAATATTAAAAAATTCTTTTTTTTTTAATTATTTACATAAACGTGCACACTATCTGGGTTACTTACAAAATCAAAAACTTTCACTCCACGCATTTTTAGTAATTTCAGAACTGAATAACATATGCAGTGTTTAAAATGATAGCTCTAAAATAAAAAACACCGTAAAGTTACAGATTTACCTGCTAAAATTTCTTCAAACATGTTACCCTACAGCGAGAATGTGATGACATTTTGTGTGAACATTTTCGTTAATGAAAAGCGAGCTGGCGGCTGTCAAGGGAATGAGGTTCTGCTGCAAAGAGACCCACGCAGTCGTCGACTGTACAAAGCTCTGCTTCGTTTGCGTCGAAGGAGAATCCTGCCAAGAGCGGTGATTGTATGGTGGAAGCCAAACACGCTGTCTCGAAGCAGGTAGCCCATAAACCTACAACGACGCTCAGCGACTCTGCTGCTCCAAAAGAGGTTCCGAAAGATCTGCGAGTAGTAATTATGGACCGAGCTGACCCTGACGGGATCATCAGAGAGGATAAATGGTTGCTGGTCGACAGCCATTTGAAGGACCTCTTCCTATCCGATGAGGTTGATCGACAGAGCCTACGGTTTGGCCAGACCTCCTTATACAAAGGGGTCAAGGTTGTTGTCACACTAAGGAGACTGCGGACTTTCTTAAGAAGGCAATTAACAACCTGGACCCTCTTTGGGAAGGTAGCAGACTGGCAGCTGTAGCGGTCCAAGAGATACCAAGTGGTATGGTAACCTCTGTATGGATCCCACCACTTTTTAACGGGCTGGAGAACACACTAAGGTTATTGGAAAAGCAGAATGACGGCCTTCAGATGAGGAGGTGGAGAATCCTCGCCTCATTTGAAAGGAACGGCGGTGTTGTCGCGAAGTTCGCTACCGATTCTGCGGGAGAGCAATATTTGAGGATGAATAAGAGTGATTTGTGTTATGGAATGGGGAAACTCTATTTCCGCCTCCCAAATCCAAAACAATAAGCGGACAGCAGCAAGCGCTAAGAACGTGTATTCTTGCAAAAAAAAAGACCTATATTTAATGCTTGCAGCAATGGAGATATGACGACAGTCAGGCTGGATAGGGGTACCTCAAAGCCCCTGATAGTATCTGCCGTCTATCTCCCCTACGAGGCACCTGACCCGCCCGGTATGGAAGTGTGCCGCTTAATGGAGGAGATGGGCAAAATTGGTGATATCATCATCGGATGTGACGCCAACGCACATCACTTCCACTGGGGAAGCAGTAACACCAACACGAGAGGTGAGTCCATTTTTAAGTTTATACTTAGCTATAATTATAGAATTTGTAATAAGGGCAACACAACAACGTTTGTAAATAGGGTGAGAGGTGAAGTCATTGACATAACCCTCACAAACATGGACAACTCCGAGGTTATGAACTGGGAGGTGTCTGAGAAATGCTCCTTTTCCGATCACAGACTGATACAAATTCCTAGCTACAGAGGAAAATAGAAGCCTTATAGGAATCCTCGGAAGATAAATTGAAACAAATTCAAAGCTAAAACAGCAGTCTCGACCCTGGATCATAAAGATCTAAAAACGGTTGAGGATGTTGAATTAGCTGTGAATAATGTCACGGCCACTCTTCTGAAGATCTATGAGGCTTCTTGTCCCCTAACATACCCCGGGAAAAAATTTCAGTCGGTATGGTTGTCATTAAACCTTGCAACCTTGCGGAAGGCTGCAAGGAAAGCTTACAATAGAGCTAGTAAGACAAAGCAAGTAAGACAAGATATCACATTTGCTACTGACATTACCTTCAGCTTATGATGGTGTTATTTATAACAGCTATAGAGACACTATCTGAAGATAATTTAACATTGGCATTTGTGAAAACTCGATTACTGGATCGCGAAATAAAATTAAGGAATGATAACCGATACACCAGCACAAAAGTCTTACAAGCAGTGGTTAGCAATAAAAGAAACACTTACAAAGACTTTTTACATAAATTTAAAAATAAAAGCAAATTTTAATCGTATAAAAATGATTTTAAAACCACAGCTAAGTGTCATTATTGTGGTAAAAAAGGACATATTAAAAAGGATTGCTATGGTTACAAAAAACTATTGAATGAGAAAATTCGAAATAATGGTGAAACGGTCCAAACTGCAACGGCCGAGGCTGAAAACGGATTCGCATTCATGATAAGGCAACACACTAACACCACATCAACGGGAAATATTTCATTTCTTTTGGACTCCGGTGCCACAGATCACGTAATAAATTATTCCAATCTGTTTACGGATTGTATTTCCATGAAGACTCCCAGATTGGAATTGCCAAACAGTTAGTATATATATGCAATCCGCCTACGGGAAGCAAAGCTGAATGCTAACGGACGCGTCCACATGTTGCGGATAGTGGGATGCCCAACACCATTCGTTGGGTAACTGTTAATAACCAATAAACAGTCGCGGACAATCAGCGGGCTCAGGGGGAGAGTCTCGGAGGAAATGACCGAGTGCCAGTGATCCCTGAGCCGACGAGGCGAGAATGGCGCCCCCTCTCATATATCCATTCAAGGTTTGGGACACTACCTTCCTAAAGTGTCCCCCCTAACGCTGGGGTGTCATGCGACCTCGTGCCTATCAGCGTTCCACGGTTTGCAGTCAGGGTACCGACTGTATTCGAACGGAGCCTTGTTGATACCTGGGCGCCTCAACAAGTGTTTCAGGCTTAGTTGCGAAGTCCTTGCCATGGTAAGAGGCTATGCCATGGTCGACCTCAAATCCTCACACACAGCACTTTTTATGGAGCCGACTTTTAATAACCCGCTGCCAAGAAAATGTATCGGAGAGCAGTAAATTTCTGCAAACGATACATTGGACGGGATAGCGACTCCATCACGGGGAAGGAGTTCCTGTTAATCAAGAGGAACCTCAAACTCATTAGGAAGTTCTCTAGGAACTATCCTGATGATATTGAGAGGGACTTCTCGATTGATAGGATCCCCCGACCCAGTTCTAGGACCACAGCGGTAGTCCCTTCTAAGAAGGAGAAACCTGCTGATGGCTCCGGTACATCCAGGAAGCTGATGCCTGAGACGTCTAAGCCCTCAGTACCCCCTAAGGGTAAACTGAGTACTGAGACGTCTCAGACATCAGAATCCACAAAGACAGAAGGCAGGGAACTGTCGAAATCGGCTGGAAAGAGAGCCCGTAAGAAGGCCTCTAAGATGACCGACAAGGCACAACCGCCCTCTGTCAATCCACCTTCTGCCGAATTGCCAAAGCTGACAGCCAAGGCGGTGACAATTGGGCAGTCGTTAGTGGACAAGCAGAAGGTAGCGAACGTGAAGCAGGTGCCTGCGTCTGCTGGGCATACCTCTGCAGTAGCTGCTACCCCGGGCGCCAAATCTCGGCCTCAGCCCACGGCTGTTAAGAGAATGAGGTCCTCGGAGGAGCAACAACCTGCTGCAAAGAGGCCCACGCAGTCGCCGGCCGTACAGAGCTCTGCTTCCTTTGCTTCGGTGGTAGCGTCGAAGGAGAAACCTGCCAAGAGCAGCGATTGTGGGGTGAAAACCAAACACGCTGTCTCGAAACAGGTAGCCCAGACACCTACAACGGAGCAAAGCGACTCTGCTGATCCGAAAGAGGTTCCGGAAGATCTGCGGGTAGCGATCATCGACCGAGCTGACCCCGACGGGTTTATCAGTGAGGATAGATGGCAGCTGGTCGACAGCTATCTGAAGGACCTCTTCCTGTCCGACGCGGTTGATCGAGAGAGCCTGCGGTTTGGCCTGACTTCCTCTTACAAAGGGGTAAAGGTTGTTGATTGTCGCACTAAGAAGACTTCAGATTTCTTAAGAAGTCAATCAACAGCTTGGGCCCCCTTTGGGAGGGTGGTCGTCTGGCAGCTGTAGCGGTCCGAGAGATACCGAGCGGTATGGTAACCTCGGTGTTTATCCCAAAACCTTTCAAGGGGCTGGAGAAGACACTGAGGTTATTGGAGAAGCAGATCGACGGCCTTCAGACGAGGAGGTGGAGAATCCTCGCCTCGTTTGAAAGGAACGGCGGTGTAGTAGCGAAGTTCGCTACTGATTCTGCGGGAGAGGAGTATTTGAGGAAGAACAAGGGTGAGCTTGTTTGTGGAATGGGGAAACTTTGTTTCCGCCTCACAACTCCAAAACAATAAGCAGGCAGCAGCAAGCGCTTAACGTGATTCAGATTAATCTGCATCACTGTAGAGCAGCAGCTGCTGAACTGCTACTCACCGTCTCTTCCTCAAACATCGACGTGGCGCTCATTCAGGAACCTTACCTGTACAAAGGCAAGGTGACTGGACTGGGCGACACAAAATACACGCTTTTGTCTACCTCCAATGGAGAGAAGGTGAGAACGTGTATTCTTGCTAAAAAGGAGTTAAATTTAATGCTTCATTCTAATTTCAGCAATGGAGATATGACGACAGCAAGACTAGACAGAGGTACCACGAAGCCACTGATAGTCTATGCCGTCTATCTTCCCTATGAGGCTCCTGACCCACCCGGTACTGTGGTATGCCGCCTATTGGAGGAGATGGGCAGAGTTGGTGATATCATCATCGGATGTGACGCCAACGCACATCACTTCCATTGGGGAAGCAGCAACACAAATACAAGAGGTGAGTCCATTTTCGAGTTTATACTTAGCTATAATCTTAGAATTTGCAATAGAGGCAATACACCAACTTTTGTTAATAGGGTGAGAGGTGAAGTCATCGACATAACCCTCACAAATATGGACGACTCTGGGGTCGTAAACTGGGAGGTGTCTGAGAAATGTTCCTTTTCGGATCATAGACTCATATCCTTCCAGATTCCTACCTAAACAGAAACCCTATAGGA